TAGGTGACATGGCTGGCGAATACCGCTACAGCTAAAATCCTGTGACATGCTTGTGATGTTGTCGTCCATCAGGTATCTACTATGTTGCATCCAACATCCGTGTGGAGAACGCCAATGGTGCCTACTTCCGTTCCCTGGTCGCCGTCAATGGCAAGACCGATGTGTCCAACGGTCTTCACCACATCCAGGGATCTCCCAAGACCAATTACTTCACCATGACTGTCGTGGGTGAGTCCTGCTAGGCGCATGCTGGTGTTTGGCTGAACAGCGTGCAGTTTCGTTGAAAGCACTAGTACGCCGTATCAACCTAGAATAGTTTTACTCAATCTCCGGACAGCATGCTGTTAGTAGAATTTTATGTTAGTTAATCTGCATGCATTGCGCCAGGCCCTGGCAGATGTGACGTTATCTGGATTGTCATCATGTTGCAGTGCTCAACTTCGTGAAGGCAATTCTCTATGATCACTTTGTATGCTCATACAGGTGTTGTCCAAATGACGAAGGGCCAGAACTTGTCCGCAATGATCTTCTCATACAATGATCCTAGCTTCACCATTGACACAGCATCCAGTATGAGCGTCGCCTACCTGAGTCCGACCAGTGTGTCTGTTCCGGGATTCCACGCCGATCTTCTACGTGACCTGACATTCAAAACAATTAACGTAAGAACAGAGGGAATTAAGCAGTACATAGCCCCCTGCCCCCTACCACCCCCTACCCCCCCCCCCCCCCCTACCACCCCAACCCCCACCCCGTATCCCTGCCACGCACATCCGTGCTCACGCCTCAGCGACCAGTAATTCTTCCCTACATGACAGTACGCCTTGTGCAACTGCTGCCAATCACATTCCTTGCTGCTGTGTGTATGTATACGTGTGAACAATACCCACACACAGCAATGCCACAACCAAGTCTTTCTCTGCCGGTACTCAGAGTTACGTGTTAAAAACACTCATAAGAAAAAACCGATATGTGTACATGCCTGCGTGTATGTGTGTATGTTTAGGTATGAGGGGGTGGGCAGAGAAGTAGACTTCTGAACCACACGCATAACAGAACAGCCTGATATCAAACTTCCATAGTGTGTGTAGTCTTCAACGACAGGAGCTCTGCCAATGTGTATGCCTGTGTGTATGTGTGTGCGTGCATGCGTGTATATAATTATACATTTGCTACGCACAGACCTGGGAAGTCATCAAGGGATGGCGAACAACAGGCTCAGCCGGCCTTTTCCAGTCCGGCAGTGACTTCAATGCCAACACAGGTTTCTTCACAGCCAGCACACCCGGTGTCTACCATGTCAGCGCTATGATTCGCCTGGATAGTGCCTCAGGAAGGTGAGATGGTGCTGCTGATGCTTCAGTGAAATGGGGGGGGGGGGGAGGGGGTGCTAATGCTTTAGTGAGATGGCCTGCGGCGCTGCTAAGACTTTGGAAATGAAGCACCCCAGAAGCTCTCCAATCACATTTCAACACGCGTACCAAAGTTTTCGTGCGTATAGGAACCTGACTGTGAATGTGAGGAGGTCCCAATGGCTCCAGACTTAGTATTGGGAGTATGCTTTGCTGGTCGTTCACTGCTCTTTTAAGGGTTTGTGTTGCTGTGCTCGACTGCTTTTCCTGCTTGCCATGTGTAGGTATTTCCGCATCGCCGTCAACGTCGACAACAAGCCAACCCTACATAATGGCATGCACTCTATTCGCGGATACCCACCGAGCAACTACTATACTCTGACCGTGTCTGGAACCGTACCTCTCGAAGGTAAGTGTGTCGTATATGTCCCAGCCTCTTTTGGTAATCACCATATTTTCCAGGGTGCAGGCGACAATAATTTGTAAGAGATCCCATCTTGGAGGAAGAATGGCACATTCAGGGCTCTATTGACTTGTAGTAAAATATGTTATAAGTTCCAGTCCGGAATTCAGGCTAGTTTTCCTGAATTTGAAATGCAACTTGTACACCGCATAATGAAGTTCTGTTGAGATAAATGTTATGCGTTCTTTCAAGAGATTGGGACTAATGATGTGCTGATGGTGCATTTGGGTGCTGTACAGCTGGCCAGAATATTTCAATCATTGCCTATTCGAACACTGACAGAGACTGGAGAGTCCAGCACGAGTCTGGCTTCAGCGTTTACCTGCTGGAGCGCATATCCCCTGGTGTCCATGCCGAGATGAGGGCAGACAACAAGATGTAAGTCCTGTGGATCTCCATGCGCGATGCAGCGCGCTGCAGGTTTTGTACGCGCATGTCAATACCGGTGGTGTGCATGTTGCTATGTGAGCCTATCTTGCAGCTTTGGTGAACGATTCATATGAAGCGTGAATGTGTGGAACAGATAAACTATTGCACTAGACTGAGGCCATCTGTGCCCTGATGGATTGATTCTCGTTTGTAGGGGATCAACGCAATGGACTCGTGTCAAGAACTGGCGAACAAACCCCGGCAAGAACGACGGTCTCTTCCAGACTGGTGCTGAGTTCAACGCCGCCACTGGATACTACACTGTCAGTGCACCTGGTAAGCTGACTGTCAGGCAGGATTTCACTATATTAGTACTTCTGCACTTTATCCAAAAAGAGTTTTCGAATTTCTTTGGTAGCAGCACTTTACCCAGCTGCATATGAAGTGTGCCAAGGACTGTTGGTAACAAGGCAGCCTATAGTTCTGTTTTCACCAAATCTCTTGCGATGTGTGCGTATGTGTGTGTGTGTGTGCATGTGTGTGTGTTTGTGTGTGTGTGTGTGTGTGCGCGCGCGCGCGCTTGCACAGGTGTGTACTATGTGGCTGCTAACCTCCGATTCGACCAACTCACCACCGGACAGGCGTACATGAACATTGCTGTCAACGACGACACCACAATCAACAACGGTCTCAACGTCAGAGAGTCCTACCTGCCGCAGAAAATCACACAGTTCTCACTGCGTACTTCTGGATTCATCCGTCTTCGTGTAAGTGCCCGAAGATCATTAGTTTTAGCCAAAGTTAGAATTTCGTTAGAATTTCACCTCGCAAACCCACAAAAATCCGGAGATCGTTAACTTTAATTGACGTTCAAATATCTGGTCTTACAGCAGTGTTGTGTTTGGTACACAGTGCAGTGCTGCTGATGGTGTCACTATCCTAAAGCACTCCCCCCCCCCACCAATATTAGCATGTGCATGGAGGTGGCGGTCAATAACTAGACATGGTTAGCATTTTACCGTTCACGCTATTTTCGACGGTCGGCGTGTAGAGGGCGCAAGTCTACTGTTTTTGATGTGTTTTTGAGACACGGTTAGCAGTTTGGCTTCTGAGTCCTGACTCCTGACGCAACGATAGACGTGTGAGGTAACCCTAGTTGGAATCTTACCGTTTCGTTCTCCCGCTAAAAAGAGCTTTCTATCGTCGGAACGGTACCAAACCGACGGTATTTTGGGTTTGGGGTACGAGTGCCGTTGGATCTAGCGCGTGAACTGTAAAATGCCATGTCTACACACACACAAAAACGGTGCAGGCCGACCGTCGAAAATAGCGTGAACGGTAAAATGCTAACCATGTCTACTAACACTGTTGTGTGATCTGTGCAAGATGAAGAAGAACGCGGGTGTGGGCAATGTCATAGGAGGAGGACAGGCCCATGTCTCATGTACACGCTATACTGTGTGTGCTTAGCTGTGTTCTCTTGCAGCACTAAACTGCATGACCAAGTCGTACTTGTCATTTCCTCCTCTGCCTAGTCAGCATACTCTAGCTTGCTCTGAGATCACAGCAGATGAATAATTTATTTATTTATTTATTATTGTCATGTCTCCATTGCACAATGGTGTTCTCTCTAAATGGTGGTGTGTATGCAAGCACAGACTACTGTAAAGTGAGAAATTTTTGCTAGAGATTAAATTTCGCTATTTTCGCTACCAGCAAACTTTCGCGAATATAAATCGCCGCCAACTGCTCTGTGCGTTGATTTGTGACTGCACACGATCCAATTGAAGAGATTAAATCGATCCAATTGAAGAGATTAAATCGATCCAATTGAAGAGATTAAATCGCGAAAGTTTCTCGTCGTGAACCGGCTCAATTCTTGAAAACGCAAACCGTGCGTGCCGCAACAGTTTACCGCTTTACAGTATTATCAATTCTGAGTGTGATTTTTGTGTTCCTGATCATCTTGCAGCTCGGAGACACCGTATCCGTGTATGTCAAATCGCAAACAGACAAGGCATACAACGTGCAGCACGAGAGCGGCTTCTCTCTGGCGTATGTTGCCCCGCCGCTGTCCATCCCGGCCTTCCTTGCCGACTACACTGTCAACCAGAACTACAGAGCCGCAGGTAAGGCCTAACCATCCCTGCTGTCAGCTGTCAGCGTGCATATGTTCACGTGGATGGCGTAAAATTCTTTCGAGGCCGTCGCACTCAAGTCTGGGTGCTAAGTGCTAGCAGTGCGCTGTTTATAGCATGTCTCAGTTTGATTGCAACAGGTACAACTGGAACAGCAGAGGCCAGTGTCGACCTGCTTGTGGACTGTCAGATTTAAGTTAAGGACAGTTTGGAGACAATACGCAGGCATCTTGCGTAATATTGCCCAATGTTCTTTTGAATGAAACGAAATGATTGGTCGGGTTTTATGCTAAATGCAAGATAAAGTGCATGTTACCTTCTCCGCGCTGATCTCAATGGTTTCCTGTGCTGTAGGCTGGTATGAGCTCAACAAGAAGTGGGCCGTTGAAGGCAAAGACAGTCTGTTCATCTCTGGTGGACAGGCCTTCAACCGCAACAATGGTCGCTTCACTGTCCCAGCACCAGGAACATACTGGGTGGTGGCCAATATCATGTTCACAGGTAAGCAGAAAAGAGGCAGATGCAAAAGACAGAGACCAAGACAGAGACAGACACAGAGAGATAAAGAGAGAGAGCAAAACGAGAGAGTGCGAGAGTGAATGAGTGAGCAAGCGAGTGAAAGGAGCCATGGAAGGAAGAAAGATGGAGAGGTGCAGAGAGGTACAAAGAGCGAGCGGGAGAGAGAGACACACACACTCACAGACACACACACGCACAGAAACAGAGAGCATAAGTTGGTAAGTAAGTGAGAAAGTTAGTGCTGGAGAGTGAGAGAAGTTGGTGCACTTCACAGTCTCTACTGCACCATCTGGATACATGTACTTTCTTGACTCAACTCTTGTTGATGGTGTAGATGGTTGGTTGTGTAAATTGCTTCACACTAAGGGAATAGGATGGAAGTGATGTGGTTGCTGTGCTGTGTTGCCTACTCAGGTCTGGATGCAACCGGTGGTGCGCTACACGCCGCCATCGGTGTCAACGGTGTGTACGACACCACAACTGGCCTGCACGTCATGCGCAGCTCCAGCCCGGCCAAGTCCGCCCTCTTCTCGCTGATGGTGTCCGGTGCACTGCAGCTGGATACTGGCGACTACCTGAGCGTCTTTGTTGGCTCCGACAAGGACACAAACTGGGGCGTGTCCAGTCAATCCGGCTTCAGCGCGGCATTCATCGGCACCAAGCTGCTCCAGGGTTTCACGGCCTGGGGACCTCCCGTCAGCCGAAAATCAACTGGTATGGTTTTATCAGGGTGGACTGAATGATTTGATGGCATTTTAGCAGAATTGTCTCCTGCCAGTTAATTAACAGCCTACGGTACACTAAAACTAACCCAGTGCATCTCAATAGAACCTGAGCAGCATGACTTGGTTAGCGCCAGGCTGCCTAAACTACCACGGGATTCTCTAATTGATATAATTATATTCTGGTCCTGTTTTCCCAGGCTGGATTCGTCAGGCCGGTTTCAACACCACTGGTTTCCCTGGACTGTTCAATACATTTGGTTCTCAGCCTGCAAATGGCTTGTGGACGGTACCACAGAGCGGATGGTAAGTTTTGAAGGGGTACACGTCCACTTTGATTTCAGCGCGAGCATTTTTGTTTAAGCTGAAGGCGGTCGAAAGAGTAAGCCGGGCATGGATCCCGTGTGCGGAGCAAGTCCGAGTTTACAATAGAATTGGGCTGTAGAATCTACCAATGGACACTGCACACAACTGCAGGGTCCAGCAAGCACTGTTGTGCAGGCGTACCTTATCTAGTTCAAGTCTTGGTCACTCAAGTAGTTGTGATAGTATTTGTTACTTCTGATTCTATGAAGTACAGTAAAACCTGTCAAGGCGACCTCTCGGATAAGGCGACCACCTGCCCCAGAAGACCACTGTAACCAGGACCACGCGATGCTATTTCCAGTCAAACGGCCCTGGATTAGGAGACCACCTGGCAACAGAGACCACAATTTGAAGGCCCTGGGGCGGTCGTTTTAGACAGGTTTAGACTGTAAATATGGAGTGGTGTCAGATATACCACATGACCATACCGCACAGCTATGTTGGTTCCAGCTCCACTCAATCATTGCGGCAAAAGGTCACATGACGTCGGCCGTGTTGATTTCAACGTAGACTTTCTACACAAATTTAGTCACCTGACAAAGATATGAAACCACTCAATATTGTAGAAAGGAAAAGGACATATGGCTACGAGTTGATCCACCGCAGTAACTAGATACTACATACAGTCAGAAAGTGCAACAACTAGGCACAAAACGTTCTGACTGTATATAGTATCTAGTTACAGTGGTGGACAGTTACTCTCAACTCGTATCCATATGGCCTTTTCCTTTCTACATTTATTATTGGCTCAACATCCGAGTTTCAAATTGCACACTCAATATTGTGCATGTTCATTCAGATGCACGGCCCTAGCGCCTTCTATTTCTGGGCAGTGGCATTGCAATGAACCATGTGCTATGTGTGTGTGTGTGTGTGTGTGTGTGTGTGTGTGTGTGTGTGTGTGTGTGTGTCCCGTGACAGGTATTACTTGGCAGCTAACCACCACATCACCGGAGGTAGCGGTTTCATGAGATCGCTTATCGGCATCTCACTCAGTCTCACGGCAAACAACGGCCTGCACTCGGCTCAGGGTAACCCCACAACCGAGTCCTCACCCTCCGTAGCTGGCATTGCCCGCCTCAGGAAAGGACAGACCTTGTCTAATCATTTCTTCAGTCAAACGGTGAGCAGCAAACACATGTGCACCTGCAAACAGCAATTTGTGAACGTCTGGCTTCCTACATGTATGTGCTCACTGAGTCAGTGTGCCATGTAGCAACAGGGCAACAGGAATTTGTGATCTAGCATGATAGCTGGAGCAAAAGCATTTAGTGTGTCATTTTAAGTAAGTCTGATCTTCCCCTATAGCACTGCTTTAGGAGCTGCATCCGATGTCCGGTATCCGTGAGGGTAGCAGCATTCAATGACAGGTGTATTCCTTACTAATTTGTTGGATTGCATCATGTGTATTTTGGTCTTCACCTCATCCATCATGCGTTGGTGTTTTGTTTGCCGTGCGCAGGACAAGAGCTGGTCGTACAGCACGCAGGGTTTCAGTGCTGTCGAGATCGGTGACTATCACCCACTGCCGTCATTCCACGCGTTCCGCTGGGGTGTCAACGTGGCTCAGTCCGGTTGGTATGTAAGTACTAGGCTAGATGATAGCGTGATCTATGTGACATACCACTAACCAGGCTAGTGGAGATGTCTTCCCGGTGGTACAGCGCTCCTATCTTAACCCTTTCACCACTGTCGACGTATATATATGTCATGGCCGCGCTCGGCGGGTTTGTGACTTGGCTTAGATCAGTCTAGTGGCTACCCAGGTAGACGACCAATATAGTCGCCATCCAAGTTGCTAGCTCACATAGAACGACAGGTTTCTTGAACAGTGTTTATTTGAACCATTGCAGTACTAGATCGAAAGATCAAGTGTGTAGGGTCAAAAGACCAAAGCAGGAGAGAGTCGGAGTGACTCTCTCAGAATCGAGAGGAGTAGTGAGCTCCCCGAGAATCGAGGATGAATGTTAGCAAAACAGCTCCTTATATATGCTACATTATGTGATCAAAAGTATACAGTGGCAAGAATGCGTAAGGATTATTTCTATATTACAAACAGTGGTGCAATATGTGCAATCAGCCAAACTAGAATATAGTACAAAGAATGATCAATCAATACGGGGAGCTCGCTCACCCACATTACATGAAAGGACTCCGAGGCTCTTCGTGCGACGGGGCCTGGAGTATGCTGTCGGAAGTTGCTGCAGCTAGAGCACGCCGCCTCCGTACGCTGCCTTGGTCGTTGGTCACCCTTCATCTCCTGCCCGTAGGCTCTTCCCTCTCATTACCCCGTAGGGTGCTTCACGGTCAAGCCGTGACCTCTCCCAAAAAGGGATAACGGAGTCCGCAGTGCGCGAAGCACTTGCAGGACCCTTTACGTCGTACGACGCGAGAAGAGGGGCCTTGCTTGCTCGACTAACAAAGGTATCAGCTCCCTTGCAGGACTAAGCAGGGTCCCCTCAAGCTCAACAGTGTAGTGAGTACAATGCTGACGACTTGTACTGAAGGTGTAGCCGCCGTACGACAACACTTGTGACTCGAGGCCACGAGTTGTAAGCCATGATTGCTCAACTAACGAAAGTGCCAAATCCTTCGTAGGACTAATCATGGTTCTTACAGAACTCTAGAATATTTCGGAGCCCAGCTTTTGGCTGCTGAATCTCATTGCGTGGTCGCTTTCACGACGAGTCGAGTCCGGGTCATGACAATTCCCCGGCCTCTCAAGAATCACGTCCCCGTGATGTTACCCAACTTGGAAGTCGGCGAGTCGTGACGGTAACCGCCTAGCTCTCGTTGGCCAAGCCAACTGGTTCTGCACCGTAACAGGTACGGGCATAGAGTACGAAATGTGGCTCCACAGGCGGGACATTTCCATCAAAAAAAATTCCAACTTCAAAATGAAACTGGTACTGCTCCACTATCGTAGAGATGAGCCTGGTGCTGATGATCAACACGCAGCTTGTCATGCACAACTAAATGCACGTTGCAAATCTTCACGCAAAGCGTATACGTATGACAGTTCGCCAGTTCGTGTCATCTCAGATGAATGTAGACCATAGGCCATAACGTGTGGTCGACACACCCTTCTTCCACGTAGGTATCCGGTTCAGTACAAAAACTGCTGCAGAGCTCCAGGAGCCATTTCATAGATTTGGTGGTATCCAACGAATCGGTTCCACTCACCCTCCACCCATTACAAAAGACCTTGGCGACCTCGCCAAGACTTCCACGGTAGGTTCATTGCTGCCAGCAAGGACAGACACAATGGCATACGCCTAGTAGCCTGTGCAACAGGACCACGATCACGTGTCTCAATTGTGTGGTGTAGCACCGAAGTGCGACCAAGCTCAGATGGGTTCAAAGCGAACGCATCTCGATACCGAAGCACTAAGGCTTGCAAGCAGTGGATCTCCTCGCAGGAGATACCAGATTGTCCATCTCTTCCTCCGCCCGCCGCTGTGGGCTGGATTGAGTCCGGCTCATCCCTTCCACCAACAGTGGTGGGCACTTGGACTAAGCCCAGCTCATCCCTTCCACCAACAGTGGGTACTTGGACTAAGCCCAGCTCATCCCTTCCACCAGCAGTGGGTACTTGGACTAAGCCCAGCTCATCCCTTCCACCAGCAGTGGGTACTTGGACTGAGCCCAGCTCATCCCTTCCACCAACAGTGGGCACTTGGACTAAGCCCAGCTCATCCCTTCCACTACCAGTGGGTACCTGGACTGAGACCAGCTCGTCCCTTCCACAGCGGGGAGTTAGAGCGGGACAATCTGCGCCAATGCGCAACTGCTTCCAGACCCCGAGGGAGTCCTCTGTCTCAGCTATTTGAGCTGATTCCTCTCTCTGGCCATCGGCCATAGTGTCTTCGGTCATGATACTCATGACTTCAGATATTGGTTCCAACCGACCAATCTGCATTGCCCTCTCTAGAGCCACTGCCTCGTCAGAGTAATTTAACACCCGTACGGGAACACCATCCACCGTAGGGCTCACTAGCGCATGCGCCATCATGACATCATTCATTTCTTGAAAACACCCATCAGGTATCGTCAAGGCACAGGTCGGCAACCCTTCCGACTTGTCTAGCACGGCGTTGACCGTCACCTCCGAAAAGGGAGTATCACTTCACGCCTCCGCAAGCGAAGAACGTGCTCTCGTTTGCCGTCACCATCATGGCTTGGCGGAACGACGTCAGCTTTAGAAGCTTTAAAATGCAATGCTCCATCACCCGAAGTGATCTCGCAAGGAATTGGGACAGCACATCGCGTCCAATGTCAGAACCAGTAACCAACATCATACTCAGTACGTGACGAAACACCACAGGGTGCGGACGTCGACAGATCCGACACCAACAGGCATCGCCCAACACAGAAGTGCTGGTTTCAGGTGGGCATCAGCTCACTAGTGATTTCCATCACACTCCAATCAAAACATTTGAGATCCGCATCAACGAACTCAAATCAGCAGTTGTTCAAGCTCTCTGCAGAACTTGTTACTGTATCATCGTTTCAGCCAGCATCTCAACTGGTGCGCCCAGTTTCGAAATCTGGCTTCGTGACTCCGTCACACGACAAGGACATAGTCCTCTTGACTGTTTTTGAACCGTCAAAGTTCAAAAGAACAGCAACACTCCTCAACTGCAGCTGAGGGCAACGTAGAAGCTAAGCTTCATGCAGTCATCGATCCTGCCACTGCAAGACGACTCTAAAAGTCTAAAAGCATTTCGCTTCTCGAACAGTTTCTGTGCCAGAGCTGACAAAACAGCAGAGTTTCCTCACTGCACGTCCTTGCAAGAACCTCTGTGGGTTCGAACAATGCGCCGTCTACACCGCAAATCGAGTGCAGCTGACACATATCTCAGACCAACAAGTGGTGAGGGAGTCGAAACTAAACTCTCGTCGGCGGCATGACCGACTTTCGCCAGGTCTTCCGGAAAAAGTTGGCACGCCAACTAGTAGCAACAGCTACAAAACAGAACGAGTTCACGTTCCATGTGCACGCACTCAGACAGAGTGTTCAACTGAACGGACCAAGGCCAGAACAGAACAAAACAGTTCGCTTCCGAATCCACTTGAGAACTGCATGCAGCCTCGTGAAATCGACATCAAATTCACACCTCTGCGTGCTCGAGTAAACAAGAGCTCAGAGTTCAGCATGGACCAGTGCACACCGAGTTACGACTACTCTGCCAGAGCAACAGCAAGACGCAACTTGGAAATCCTGGTCACAGCACCAAATGTCATGGCCGCGCTCGGCGGGTTTGTGACTTGGCTTAGATCAGTCTAGTGGCTACCCAGGTAGACGACCAATATAGTCGCCATCCAAGTTGCTAGCTCACATAGAACGACAGGTTTCTTGAACAGTGTTTATTTGAACCATTGCAGTACTAGATCGAAAGATCAAGTGTGTAGGGTCAAAAGACCAAAGCAGGAGAGAGTCGGAGTGACTCTCTCAGAATCGAGAGGAGTAGTGAGCTCCCCGAGAATCGAGGATGAATGTTAGCAAAACAGCTCCTTATATATGCTACATTATGTGATCAAAAGTATACAGTGGCAAGAATGCGTAAGGATTATTTCTATATTACAAACAGTGGTGCAATATGTGCAATCAGCCAAACTAGAATATAGTACAAAGAATGATCAATCAATACGGGGAGCTCGCTCACCCACATTACATGAAAGGACTCCGAGGCTCTTCGTGCGACGGGGCCTGGAGTATGCTGTCGGAAGTTGCTGCAGCTAGAGCACGCCGCCTCCGTACGCTGCCTTGGTCGTTGGTCACCCTTCATCTCCTGCCCGTAGGCTCTTCCCTCTCATTACCCCGTAGGGTGCTTCACGGTCAAGCCGTGACCTCTCCCAAAAAGGGATAACGGAGTCCGCAGTGCGCGAAGCACTTGCAGGACCCTTTACGTCGTACGACGCGAGAAGAGGGGCCTTGCTTGCTCGACTAACAAAGGTATCAGCTCCCTTGCAGGACTAAGCAGGGTCCCCTCAAGCTCAACAGTGTAGTGAGTACAATGCTGACGACTTGTACTGAAGGTGTAGCCGCCGTACGACAACACTTGTGACTCGAGGCCACGAGTTGTAAGCCATGATTGCTCAACTAACGAAAGTGCCAAATCCTTCGTAGGACTAATCATGGTTCTTACAGAACTCTAGAATATTTCGGAGCCCAGCTTTTGGCTGCTGAATCTCATTGCGTGGTCGCTTTCACGACGAGTCGAGTCCGGGTCATGACATATACGTCATGGCGAGTGCACCTGCCCCACTGACGACGTATATATACGTCCTCAGTGTACGTAGCGTTTGTACTGATGCCTCAACATCAGTGGGGCCTAGAACTGTTCCTCAGTGGGCTGAAGGACCTGATCGACTTGTACGCAGCGTATGTGGCCAGTCTGCACAGCAGAACAGCCGCGAGCATCGAGTTTGAAGTGCGTATTTTGGCATATCGTTCAAATAAATTGTTTCGCTCAAAGTTCGTTTCGTCATCTTGCCCTGCTGTTTCTCGGCAAGGTAAGTAGCTGAACTACTCTGTGTCGATGGTAGGAGTCCTGTGAAGCAGTGTGAGGCGGGTAATGACTCTGAGGATGATTCTGGAGACAGCGAAATTGTGTCGGAGTCGTTTTCTGAGGATTACGAATTTGCTGCTATTCAAAAGATCGCAGCTGACTCGGACGCAGGGGATGCTGGAGACCAAAGAGATTTGGAAAGCGATGCTGAAGTCTCTGACACCTAGGCATGGTGCTCTGAGCAGGAGCTATCTGTCGTGAGCCTGTTTGCTGAAGTTCCTCAAGTAAACAGCGATCAAATTTGAAGGTCAGAATTTTGAAAATATTTGAATTTGAAGTCAAGTGTACTGGTCAGATATGCATGAAGATTACAGTGCACATCTCTGATGTGCATAAGTATTGTATGTTGAGTACAGAGTCAGGCACCTACAGGATGGAGATTGCTATCTAATATGAATCCAGAATAATCCAGAATAGTCCACAATTGTGCAATTTTGAACCACTATCAGAAATTGCGCAGCCGATTGTTTCTTGAATTTTCATGCGTACGTACACCGGTACGCAGTATGCACTCGGCTGTTTATGGAATGCTTCAGACTATTTTGATAGCTGGATTGTCTTGCCAGTGAGTGTCTAAATCAGAGAATGAGCAGTATTGCATTCTCCATCAATACGACTTTACCTGTGCCGCGTACGTAAGTACGCGTGCGGCCAGTGATGACTCACCCTGGCCGGGATGCGCCGAGCACAGTGAGCCAACCGCTGCCACTGCACCGGCTGCTATTATGGCTGATGCAGTTGCTGTG